TGCGATTCGTCGCGGGTCACGGCTCCCGCTGCCTGACTCGTATAGGCTATACAGAACCTCGGTGTGTACTCCGGCGCCCCACTCATGCTTTTCATGGCTCACATTAGAAATGCAACGTCATAGCATGCATCTTACCATAAACAGCAACCCGATGGTAGTGAACAATCGCTTACATATTGTTTAGACAACTGCACTGTAGAAGTATTCTGATGTAACGATATCACGCAACTCGCATCGTCGCAAGAATATAACCGATTACCTCGATATGGCGTCTTCACTCCCCGAATCCAATACATGTTTGACCTATACACAACCATCTTCTCACCCACATCTTACATATACACCCATACCTACACCAGGTCCACAGGAGGTTCTGATCAAGATCAAAGCCGCCGCTATTAGTAAGTATCTTTGTACGAACTGCACGTGAGCCACACACTGACTTCGTACAAAGATCCAGTAGACATCCAACTATGGGGAAATCCCGTGATCGGCTGGCTGGCAGGTAAAAAAGAGAAAGGAATAGGGCGAGACTACTCGGGTGACATTGTTGCCGTGGGGGAAGAAGCAAAGAGTGGAAAATGGGAGGTTGGAGACGAAGTTTTCGGATTGTGCAATCGACCCGTAAGCCAAACCTCATCAAATTACCTTTTGGAAGACAATACTAAATTGAAATCATGATAGATGGCGGAAGGAACATTCACACAATACCTTTGTGTCAATCCAACCTCCGAACCCATCGCAAAGAAACCTAGCACTCTGTCTCATCACGAAGCCGCCGCCATACCTCTTGTTGTCTTGACCGCATTCGCCTGTCTCGATTGGCTCCCGTCTCCATCCAGCTCCCCATCTCCCTCGCAACGCCGTGTGATCGTATCAGGAGCAAGCGGCGGTGTAGGAATGTGGTGTGTACAGCTAGCAAAGAAGCTCTACTCTTGCCATGTCATCGGCATCTGCTCGGGTCCCAATGCCGATTTTGTGAGCAGATTGGGTGCAGATGAGGTAATTGACTATCGCACGCAAGACGTGCCAAACTCCCTGCTTTCCAAGAGGCCCGCTGGTACCAAATACGATCTGTACATTGACTGTGTAGGTGGCACAGAAATGTTCGAGCATTGGAAGCAACTCCTTCATCCCTCTGGCGCGTACATTACCATTGTTGGAGATAAAACTTCAAGGACCGCAATGGGAGGGCCGTTGACATATTTCACATACCCATCCCAAGTCATACGACATATCCAGGGTTATCTGTTTGGGCCGCGATATGCGAATGTCATTCTGTACCAGAAGAGCGAGTTACTCGAGCAGGTGAGGGAGTTGGCAGAGAAGAGCGATGTGCAGGTTGTGGTCCAAGATGTTGTCAAAGGGATTTTGACCGAAGAAAATCATGTTGAGGCTTGGGAGAAGACTAAGAACTACATGGTGGAAGGACGAGTCAAGGGTAAGATTGTTGTTGACATTGCGTAAGGTCTTGTGTGACGGTTAAATGTTTACATAGGAGTCGAAAGATATCTTACAAATTGCTGTTTGACCCTCTCGTTCTTGCAGATCTTAAGTATTACTAAAACACAGAAACATCATTCCAAACCACTTCGAATACGATGGTGAGCTCGCTTGTTGACACACGCGATGGTCTAGCTCGTCCTCTACTCACTCAAGTTCTGCTGGAAGAACTCTGTGAGCCTACCAAAGGGGATCAGGTCAACGCGGTCGTACAAGTCCACATGGCCAGCGCCTGGAATCCAAACTAGCTCCTTTGGTTCTGCCGCAGCCTCATACGCATCTTCGCTGAACTCGCGCGAATGTGCCATGTCGCCAGAGATGAACATGACTGGACGTGGGGATATGGTATCGAGGTCGCTAAAGGGATAGAAATTCATAAACTTGGTCTGGCTGGAGAGCGTAGGGTGGGTGGTGAGGTTTGGTGCAGAACCTGCAGGTGTGAACTCGCCTCGGGATGTGCGGTAGAAGTCGTAGAACTCGCGTGAAACTGGATCGGTCTCATTGGTGAGAACATGAGGAGTTCCACCCGTATACTTTGGAAATGGAGGCACGAAGTTAGTGTACGTCTCACATGCATTTGATGTAGTCACAACATACCTCCGTTTCTCCACCGCTGGCCTCTACCCAACGTTGCGCCGCCGCCGTTGCAATGACCTGCTTGCGTTGCTCGACGCTCTGCGATCTCTGTAACCCGTTGCGGCTCACAGCCCCCATGTCATACATACTGGCTGTCGCGATAGCCTTGATGCGCGGATCGATCTTTGCTGCGCTGAGGACAAAGGAACCACTGCCACAGATACCGATAGCTCCGATACGCTCGCGGTTAACGTAGTCTTGTAGACCTAGGTAATCGACTGCAGCACTGAAGCTCTCGGCGTAGACGTCTGGCAATACGGCGTTTCTTGGCTCGCCATCGCTGCCTCCCCAGAAGGAAACATCAATCGACATAGCGACGAACCCTTGCTCCGCCATCTTGGTGGCGTACAGGTTTGCACTCTGTTCCTTCACGGCTCCCATTGGATGGCCGACGACTATAGCGGACGCGTTGATGCTTCGATCGAGATTGTCGGGTAGGAAAAGGTTGCCCGCCACGGTCATCTGGTATTGACTGGGAAAGGTGATCGGATGCACCGTGACGTTGTCGCTGCGGTAGAAGTTGTTGGCTCCATAAGACAAGTTCTGTGCCGCCGCTGGCAGCATCTGAAGAGCAGCCACGAGAGCTAGCGATACGAATGTGACCGTCATTTTCGAGGCGCTTCTTCTGCAGATAGTAGTCTGGATTCGTTGTGGTGGATGTGGAAGCTTGGGTATGTGATGATCTCTTAGGCAGTGATACAGCGTTCTTATAGTTCAAGAAGCTGGCTCTTGCGAACTTGCACTGCCATAGCTTGCGTCAGCCCCATCAAAGAGATGTTGATGTTGGGCCAGGGTACGGCAGACTTATTCCTCTACATCACTCTCGCCAAGACTGGGCATGCAAGGGGATGACATGATCATAGTAGGCATTCCAAGGCGACAATTCCACCAGCCTAGGGATGTAAAGGGAGTAACGATAGGAGAACAATGCACTAGTGCTACCTGGACCCAAGTCGATAGCAAGAATGAGTGGTAACCAATGTATCTGATGAATCAGACCACATCGGAAGTAGAAAACAACAAGACCGATGCAATTACCGTGCGGCGTCATATTCTTGCAGAGGAGATGCCTGCTGTTGCTTGTTGCATATTTTCCCCTTGATGAAGTGACGTCTTGGCCTACTGCAGCCAGCTGACAGTCTTAAGTCCACCCGGCGCTAAAGCGTGATCGGTTTGGTCTGACTAACAAGGTTCCGGGTTTGAACGTCTACCATGATTCCATACTTGCAATAGCATGCTTAGAAATGGTTATTGCGTAGTTGAAGTTTTGATCAAGAGAGACATGAAGAGATCTTACCATGAGTCTTTCTGCGCATGGTAGCATGCAGGTGTCCTTGGAAAATCTAGATTTCTTTGGAGGTATACGCTGAAAACGCACATTAGCACCTTTTGCGCGACTTTCTAGACTAGTAGACACTTACATACTTCTAAATGACGTACGAATGTAGGTTCTCGAACGGCTCGAGGTCGGGGGACTTGGAGGCTCTACTGATCGTCCCAAGACGTTGCAGTGGCAACATCTGGTGTACAAGCGTGAGCTACGTTGTTTCTTGGCATGTCACGGTGCCATATGGGGCACTTGACCATGCCATGTCGGTCGTACAACTGTTTGAGCTCCTCTTGATCATGGTTTTCGTCATTTCGTGAGCGCTTTTGAACTGCCTTCTGAACAACCTTCGAATTGAGGGAAGACATAGGGGAAGCACCATGTTCCTCCTGGAATTGCGGGGCATGTATATCGCTGCATGAACGACACCTGAATTTGGTTTACAAGCTTTAAAGTTCGTGCAAACCTTGTTGATAACGAGTCTAGTAGCAGGGTGTTCCGTTACAATCCTTCCACCAGAATTGGAAATGCGGTAAACTGGTACTCAGAAGATCGATGCGGATGCGAACTACGCTGTAAACTTTAAAACTGCATGCCCGGAAGGATAAACGGGTAACTATGTTAATTCGGTCGAGGATGCTCTCATAATCCCGACAGGTAAAGGTCATGATTGATATGATAACCGGACGTGACAGCTACTACACCTTATGCTTGTTTGACTGCTGAAAGCTTCCAACGACTGCACTTCTTTAAGACAGACATTCTCTTACTGCCCATGTTCCAGACGCATGGGGCGGCCGAATAAGTTTCTTATGCCATGAACTTTGCAAACATGCCCCGTCGGGCGGACTGCTGATGGCGAGCAACTTCAAGGACAATCCGATCGGAATGGCGTGCATTTACTATGGTTTCGGGGAGTTGGTACGCAGTTGCTGCCGCCGAGTTGCATCATCTTGATCTGGCCGCCACTACATCAAAGAGAGAAACTAAACATTTCTTTAGAGCATACCTAGGGAGTACTTCTTTTACAAGTTTTTTTTATAGGAGCTAATGTAAGCTGCAAGGTAGGGCTTGTTGTCTCTATACCTACTTGGTTTTTCCCTTGTACGTGGTGCCGCCGTGGAGAGGATCTCTGGGCACATAGGCGCTACCTAGCTCGGCCAGAGATTGTCGTACACGTGCATACGAATTGAGATGAGCTGCTTCTTCCCGGCAGCAGTTCTTTTTATGCACAAGATGTGTGGATGTCAACCCCAGATGGCTCTAGGACAAGACTAACGCAGGTGCGTGACCAACAGCGATGACGTTGGCTGCAGGGTCCATGCTTCGCCCCAGCCTCATGGACATGGACCGCAGCCGCTATCTGGACGCCAGCCTCAACCACTACCAGAGCTCTCCACTCTCCACTCTCCACAACAACCCCGACCATCCTACCCCAACTTCGAATTCACATCGAAGTTCTTCCCGTCGTGTTTATCGCGCGACTATAACACTATAGCTCGTCTCTAGTACCGCAGCTGTCTTCACCGCCGCCATGCAGCTCACCACCCTCTTGCTCGCCGCGCTAAGCGCCGTCTCTGTCTCTGCATCGCCCTCATGGATGGGTGGCGACCAGGTCACGATCCAGGAAGAGTACAAGGTCCCAGGCGACAACCCCTTGTATTTCTGCGGTGACCCAGCCAACGATCTTCTTAAGATTGAGAAGGTTGACCTGAGCCCCAACCCACCCAAGCCGTACGTGATTCCTGTTGGAGTCTTGTGAGAGTTGCGCATCTACACGTGTGGTAGTTTCGCAAGTCTTGAGAAGTGTGAAGCGAGAAACTAACCTGGGTACAGTGGCGAGACGCTCAGCATCAAGGCCACAGGCGACTTCAAGGAGGAAGTCGGTGAGGGTTTCACAATGCACTTGCAAGTCAAGTACGGCATCATCACACTCATCAACCAGAATGCAGACGGCTGCGAAACGATAAAGAAGGGCGATCTCGAGTGCCCGCTTAAGAAGGGCGAGATGAGCTTGACCAAGGATGTTGACCTGCCCAGGGAGATCCCTCCGGTGCGTTCGATGAGCCTGACAAGATGCGAATTAATACTAACAACCAGTAGGGCCAGTACACTGTTCTCGCAGACGTCCTTACCGAGGACGGCGACAAGATTACTTGCCTGACCGCCAAGATCGCTTTCCACCGGTAAATTGCCTCACCTTCGTTTCGCCGCCACAACACACGACGAGCAGCGATGGGATCTGATGTTCACACATGTAGGGTAGATACGGAGGACAGTAATACGGGCAGTGGTAGTAAAGTCAAGTTTGGACAGCCGAGAGTGCAAATGTCTGGGCCCCTCGCCGGGCTTGTGCAAGAGCGATTGAGGCGAAGGAACGAGCTGTAACCAAATGTTGGCGAATTGTTTTCATGTCTTGAATCACGATACCAGTGCGAGGTTGGCTTTACTGTTTTGCGTATGGATTTGAACGTAGGGATGGACCATGGCTTAATGTAGATACGACGGACATGCATATACTCTGTGGCACGATTGAGTCTTTGACCCTGTTCTGTAATGGATATCATATCTGCGCACGTTGAATGTTGTATGTACACAAAGCTGCCCGTGGTGGACGCCACGTGCTAGAGCCATGCGTAGTGTATCCGACACATGCGACCCTCTCCATGCGCTGCCAGTTTCCGCATTCAACGTCTACTCTCCGAATAGCCTCCTCACCCTCTTCAGCACGCTGTCCTTCTCAGGGTCGTAGGGGTGGTCTTTGGACGGAATTTCGAGAAGGGAAGGGAAAGCAGCCGTGTATGTCTCAACCCGGTGTCGTATCCTCTCGGCGATCTAGCAGCGGTCAGTCGTGTCCTTCGCACCGTGTCCAAGAACGACTCCAGCGTCACTCGTCCAGCTGGGAGCGCCATGTCTGGCCCAGGTAACACGTACATGTTGATTGATGAGTAGAATCGCGATATCCTTGCGCTCGGTGGTGAAGCGGTCGAATGCTGCTTCGATGGCCGAGGTCTCGGTCTTTGCGTCCACAACGAGAAAGTTCTTCTGGCTGTCTGGTGGCTGGGTAACATGCTGTGATCTGCGTCAATGTCCTGTTCTCATCGCGCGTTGCAGCTCACAATAGCTTACGCCTACGCCGGCAAGCAGCATGCCCGTGCAAGTGTCCTGCGACCGGTTAGCGCCCTTGACCCGCCAGGTGAGGATATGTCGACAAGCACACCTCGTCGCCTATGACGGCCAGGAACTGCCTGTCCTTGTACTGTGCCGCTGGTGCTGCCATTGCGATATAGCTAGTGAGGCAGCTGTCGTGAGGTCGGAGCTTGGCTGCTGAAGCTGGAGCTCCCGCGCGCCGTCGTCATGGGCGGGACCACGGCCTAGTCCGCGTTGGGCCAACTGTTTGTACTGTCCTTTCTTTCACCACGCGCTCTTTCCTCATCGTCGTGTCTTGTCTCAACACCGCCATGCCGACCTGATTCTCACCACTACCCCGCTCTTTCTCTTTACCTCTCCTATACAACCCACAACTCTAACCCAGGGACTATAATCGTAATACTGCCGAACCATGCCTCCTGTCGTGCGCCGCGCACCGCTCTCGGAACGCATAAAAGCCTACTTTGACCTGTCCGACTGGCTCATCTGGATATCCCAAGAGCTCAACAGCTCCGATTGGGAAGAATTTGCATCTGCTTATGCGCTGTACATTGGCTTTGGCGCAAACCTACTCTTCGTTCTCGCCCAAGCCAACAGCGGCGCATCCACGGCCTCGGACGACGATGGCGTCTTCAACGAGGTGCAGGGCCCAGGATGGATAAAGTGGATCATGGGCCTGCTGGTGCTGGTGCTGGGTGTGGCTAGCTTTGGCAATGCGTGGCTGGTCTGGGGCAAGAAGAGGTATTACCGTCTCTTCGAGCAGAGCGTCGATGTTGCGCCACAGACACCTAGTGCGAAGCGCGTTAGGGTCGACTCATCGCCTGCAGCAGCGAGTCCGATGCAGTTTGTGAGGAGCTTGGTGCAGAACAACGCGGCGAGTCGGGCGCATCCTGTCGAGGGCAGAGACGTTTGGGAGGTGGCGGTTTGGGATCCAAATCCGCTGTGTCTGGAGTTGTTCTGCTTGTTCAGCCCGTTGCACGTGGTACTCTACTACTTCAACCTCCCAGTCGCTCCGTTGGATCCGAGACCGAGTGTCAGGGTGACTACGACTATCTTCATCGGAGCAGCGCTGTCGCTTCATCTTTGGTGGCTTAGGAGCTCCTTCATGCAGCAGGCCAAGGACAACTCTCTGATCAGTCGCCAAGTGCTTCACGAGTACGATAGCAAGTTCGTTCATCCCGCGTTGCAGAAGCCGTGCCGCGACGTTGGTATCCAGACCATATCAAAGAACCGAACCCGTGACTCGAGTGTCGGCGTCAAGGGCAGCAGCAGTGATCTCGCGAGCTCAGTCGTCACATATACGCCAACCACCATTGTTAACCGCCGCACTTTCCGTACGAACCCGAACGCAAGCTACGCCTCACAATACGACCCTGACGATATGGCTTCTCCGTCTGTCACGCGCTCCCTGAGACGTAGACCCTCCCTCCACCAAGACCACAGCAGCTCGCAGTATGCAAGCACATCCACAGCAACAGGTCCTGACTTCTCCTCTCCTATTCGACCCTCGCAAACACCCAACCCCTTCCGTCAAGCACCCACTATTCCCAGGACCAACAGCAAGCCTGCTGACGGCGGTTATCTGGGGATAAACACTCATGCCGCGTCTCCTCTACGAAAGTCGGCAAGTGCAAACTTTATAAAGGATGGCGAGAGGAGTGCGAGCCGTGGGAGGGACAGTCTAGGTGGCGCGTTTGAGCGCAGGGCTAGTCCGAGCAAGCGGGATGTCAGCCCTCTGAAGCGTATCAGTCTTGGAAACTTGAACGCCGAGAGGGAGAGGGGAGAGAAGACTTTGGGTCAGGCAGGTAGCCTAGGAAGGAGTACTCAGTACGGTAGTCTTGGTGTTGGACGAAGGGAAAGCGGACGATACTAATGGTCATCTCTGTGCGATCGACGAGAGCCAGGATACGGAAGAGCTTGTGCGGCACTGAGCTGTGAGTTCGATTAATTCGTGTACATTTTATTATATACAATACCCCAATATATGCCACCATGATGGCGCTTTTCTATTGCAGAATCTCATTGATCACTTAGCTCAACGTATGGCTTCTTGTGCACTCTTCAAAAACGCCACATCACTGTCAGACCTTCTGCTCAAGAGATCGGCGACTAAGCAATGTGTACTTTCATGAGACTAAGCCGCGTGGTTGGCGCGTCGATGATAACATGTTGCGTACCGTTGGCCTAACTTTGTATACTTTACTTTGAGATGACAGCTGGGATGCTTTCAAAACCCCCTTGTAATGATGAGTCATGAAGGACCAACTAATTGCTGTACTTGTTTAGAATTCTTAAAAGGTTATAGATTATGCTCCTACACGAGAGAATTGGGAAGAGCATTAGAAAAAATCGCCACCCTTTTCCTAACGACTACACGTTAATTTCGCCATGCTTCACCATTTGGTAGGAACATGTATCTTAGATGGCTAGCGCATTCTCTTCTATCTCACTTGCTCTTTAGCATGAAGCAACTGCTTTCCCTCTTCTTATACTAAGAACAATGGAACGACATGCCAACTGTATGGGGCAGAACCATTAAAATCGTGTCTAGAGTGTAGAGATCGTGTCAAGCTGGGAGAAACCAATCTCTGGACCCAAATATAGCCGTAGGGCAGAAAGCACCAATGGAACGCTTTCCGTTTTTCACTGTAGGATATTCTTTGCATTACAGGTCTGGTATGCTTTCTGAAACGAAAACCTTTTACCTCTGCACATCTGCTGCAAGTTCGAGAACTGCACAATCAGTCTCCATGGAATCATGCTTTAGTATTTCACGTTCTGATAGAGGGCCGTCCGTGCAGCTGTTGCAGCTGTTTGATCCCAGCATTAGACACCTTTACACGGACTCTTCCCCTTCACGGGTTGTTCTTCTCTTTATTCGAGACATGTATCAAAATAGGTTCAAAGATGAATCGAAAAGAAAAAAGAACTGCAAAAGAAGAAACCTTACCTTCTTGTGTCAGTCACAAGCATCAGCCCATATAACGGTCGCTTCTTCTCGGTTCTTCCGAAAAGCTTGTTGAACAAAAAGGCTTGAGGGGATCCGGTCGCTGGTCGAGAGCCGTTATAACACGTCATAGGATGTTGGAGTTGCGCGTCGTCCGATTGCATAGGCCTCGGACAGGCCGTCGCGCCGGACTCCAAAAAAAATAATTCATCCCAACAGGCCAAATATACGCATCTCAATAGTCTGCCACGTATACCAATATATGAGAATGCTGGCACTCGATGTCATAGTGTTCAAAGCGTCATTGTTGAAATGTGGGGTTCATATTTGTACCAATAGATATTTACAAAAAAAGGTATCCTTAGCATGGGTCTAACAAACCATGATCCATGATCCATGATCCAAGCCATGTGGCGCATTGCTAGTGTCGTCATTCGCAATCATCGTACTCTCCCAGAGAGTCAAAGTAATATTTCATAAGAAAATCTCTTCATCCAGCGCTTAAACAGAGTTGATAAAGGAGAGAAGGGCGGCGGTGCGAGCGTATACACCAGGGAAGTTGGGCTGAGCACAGCCGTTACCCCAAGAAACGAGACCAATAAGAGTCTTGGCGGAGTTGACAATGGGGCCGCCAGAGTCACCCTGGCAAGAGTCGCGACCACCAGTGGTGTATCCAGCGCAGAACATGTTGTTGGTGATAGCAGAGGTTCCATAGGATGAGCGGCACTCGGTGCGGGAGACGATCGGGACGGAGACCTTGTAGAGAGTGCTGGGACTGCTGCCGCCCTCAGTAAGGGCACCCCATCCGGCGACAGTTGCAGTAGATCCAGCAGCGGGGTCGGATCCGGAAGCAGGGAGAGTTGCGTAACCGATGGTGCTGCTAGTAGGGACGGCAGTGGAGAGCTTCCAAATGGCGACATCGAAGTCCTGGCCCGAGCTGCGGTAGCTTGGGTGGACAGTAACGGAAGATACGCCCACGAGTGTTCCACCGGAGCTCTTGTTCAGGCTGCCGGCGCGGACACGGAGACCGCTGACTGAGCCAATGACGGAGCTGACGGAGCAGTGAGCAGCAGTGATGACGGTAGTAGAGTCCAACAGAGAGCCACCGCAGAAGTGGGATCCGCTGCGTTGAAGGCTGACGATGAAGGGGAACTCGCCCGCAGAGGCAGTGGTTCCACCAACAATGTCGTCAGCGGGAGCATCCTCAGGGAACTCGTATTCGGGGTCCTGAGGAGTGGGAGCCGCAAGGACGAGCGCAGGAAGCGCGATTGCGATGATGGATTGGAAACGC